CTTGCGTTCTGCAAGTGAACGTCACTTTATTGTGCCATCCCAAAGAGGCACAAAATCACTTTCTCTGACTTTTAAATTAAATGTTCCCTCCTGGTGGAATGACCTGCCCAACTCAAACCGAGCAGCTGAGTCCTTAGCCATCTTCAAGAATCGGCTAAAAACACATCTTTTCCATCTTTATTTGACCCTCAAACTCTAGCACTCTCTATTCTAATTCTATTCTTAAAAAATGTCCCATTGTACACTTGCACTCTATTCATTTACTGCTTGTTTTCTTTATAAAAAAAATACTAACACTAGCTTTTCTAATCTTTTTGTATTCTATTTGTTTTCTTTTTATTTATTATACAATTAACAAAAACAAAAAAGACCTCTAACACTAGCTTGCTCTATTGTTTTTTTATTCTAGCAGTTTTCTTTTTATTTATTATATAATTTTTAAAAAACTTGCTACGTGTACTGTGTTAAGCTAAGAGACTTGTAATAGCACTTGTATATCATTGCTCTTTTGTTGATTTTGATTGCTTCCATTGTCCTCATTTGTAAGTCGCTTTGGATAAAAGCATCTGCTAAATGACTAAATGTAAATATATAAATGACTATAATGAGCAGTGTTGGGGAAAGTTACTTTTAAAAGTAATGCATTACAATATTGCGTTACTCCATAAAAAAGTAACTAATTACTCCACTGGCCTCGCTCCGTTCCCACGGCTCTCGGCCCCGCCCCCACTCGTCACATACTGAATCTTTTTTTTTTTGTGGGTGAGATGAATTAATGCATATTCATATTTATTTTGAACTACAGTAACATCTTCTGATTTCTCTCAACATGAGGGCAGGAGAGCTGTCAATCAATACATTGAGAAAAAAAAAAAAAAGTAACTTGCGTTACTTATTTGAAAAAGTAACTCAGATATTCTCTTGTAAATTAAAAAGTAATGCGTTACTTTACTAGTTACTTGAAAAAAGTAATCTGATTACGTAACTTGCATTACTTGTAATATATTACCCCCACCACTGATAATGAGTATTATAAATTTATATGATTAAATGGAATAGTAAAATGATTAAATGATTATAAATGAATAAAAAAAGAAGTAAAACACAACAAAAATGTATAGTTGCTCTTATAAAGGTCTTATAAAGCAAAACGATCAGTCTGTGCAAGGATCTCAACATTGTTTACATTATTTTACCTGTAATCCAGAGACTCTTAACTCTACTTTCCCATTAAATTGACTTCCAGGGAATGTTATTTCCCGTCATGATGAGTGCTCTACTTCTTCTGAACAATTTTTACCCATTGGTTTAATGTTCTTTTAAGGATTATTATGTTTTTGGGAGCTTTTCGGGCCCTTTACATGTTTACAAACTCAATTCATTTTGTACACGTCACAGTACTTCACCATTGCTGAATATATCATACATATTTGTACTTTTTTTTTTGAATGTACAGCCACATGTCACATTACTTCATCAAACTTGGTCACCACAATGCCAAGATATTTGAAGATGATGGGTTTTTGATGTTTGATATGTTGATAAATTTATAGTAAAAAACAGGAATTGACGTTGAGCTGTATCAAAGAGGCTGATCACGTGGATGTGATTATTGTGAGCCATGGTCACAGCGCCACCAACTGGCAGCAGGAACTGTGTCTTGTACAACAGACTTTGAAATAGGGGCATGTATGTGCCTACTGAGGGTCCAGTTGCCACCAGCTGGCAGCAGGAAGTGTAGCACATCAGACTTTGAAATAGTCCTCCTTTATTTACTCACTTTAATGCATGTGCCCCCCATTTGTGACAATGACCTGTAGCGCTTGAGCCCGTCATCTCCGCTTACAGCTGTATTGTTGGTTTTGATGTTTTAAATGTCTAAATGTTTTGATGTCCATTGCTTTATGCCATTAAACTGGGCTTAACATGTATTTGTCTTTTTTGCCTTAGACCTGATGGCGCTGAAAGAGGAGAGTCAAGTTCTGAATGAAATGGAAAAGAAAGATCCGCACGAAATACATCATGATTTCATAACTGGAGAAAAATCTTGTTGTTTTTCACAGACTGAAGATGCTTCCTCTCAAAAAAGAGCACAGAAGACTAGAACTAGAAGTCATTTCACCTGCCAACAATGTGGAAAGAATTTAAACAAAAAAGAAAGCATTAAAATTCATATGAGAATTCACACTGGAGAGAAGCCTTACACCTGCCAACAGTGTGGAAAGAGTTTCCCAAGAAAATATAATCTTAGGATGCACATGAAAATTCACACTGGAGAGAAGCCTTACACCTGCCAACAGTGTGGAAAGAGTTTCCCACGAAAAGAAAGTCTTAGGATTCACATGAGAATTCACACCGGAGAGAAGCCATTTGTATGTTGTCAGTGTGGAAAGAGTTTCCCTCATAAAGCAACCTTTCATTCTCACATAAGAATTCACACTGGAGAGAAGCCTTACACCTGCAAACTGTGTGGAAAAACTGCGAACCACAAAGGAAATCTTAAAGCTCACATGAGAGTTCACACTGGAGAGAAGCCTTTCACGTGTGATCAGTGTGGAAAATGTTTCGTACGCAAGGAAGGCCTTAGTAAGCACATGGAGATTCATTCAAGAGAGAGCTGTTTTATATGCCCTCAGTGTGGAAGTACATTCACAGACAGGAAACACTTTAAGAGCCACGTAATAACTCACATCAGACATGAGCCTTTTATGTGTCATCACTGTGGAAAGACTTTCACAAGAAAAACAAACCTCAATACTCATACGAGAATTCACACTGGAGAGAAACCTTTAACGTGAACAATGTGGTAAGAGTTTCAGATGGGAAAACAACCCTTTATACCCACATGAGAGTTCACACCACAGAGAGGCCTATTCACGTAACTTCAGTGTGAGTTTCAGATATCAAATAGATCTGAAGAGTTATTTGCAAACTCATTCTGGCAAGAAATTGCAGTGTTCTGAGTGTGGTAATAGGTTTAGAAAATGGAGCAATTTGAAATTTCACCTGTGCACTGGAGAAAGTAGGCTACCTGTGGGACTGTAATAGCATTAAATTTACTTTCAACAACTTAGTCCATAAATGTCCAAAATATTATAAATGGTAAGGGAAAGTATTAACCTTTTGCAAGGGTTTTAAAGGGGTCATATGATGCTGCTAAAAAGAACATTATTTTGTGTATTTGGTGTAATGAAATGTGTTTATGCGATTTAAAGTAAAAAAAAACACATTATTTTCCACATACTGTACATTATTGTTTCTCCTCTATGCCCCGCCTTTTTGAAACGCGTCGATTTTTACAAAACTAATCGGTCTGAAAAGCGAGGTGTGCTCTGATTAGCCAGCTATCCAGTGCGTT